AAGCAGATCTAAAACGACATTTTTTATGCGATCTAAAGTATATGATATTCACAATCCTTGGTACAAAGACATCAGCTCAAAATGTTCCTAGTTTAATATGCTCTATAGTTTATTTGAAACCATTGTTTTTATACCAAGAATAATACGTAGTACTAAGTATGAGAGTGTTTTGTCACCAGCATTCACAATGCTTTTTTGTTTTACTTTAAGTACGCAATTAAAAAAAATTTTACCCCCCCTAAATCACCCAAAACTGTATCCTATGTTAATATTACATGAAATTAGCAAGACCTAGATTAATTAAATTCACTATTTGAATCACATATAATAAACCATTATGCATTATGAAACCGATGCACTATGGAAACCGTGCAACAGAAAATTAAAGGAAAAAAATCAGAAAAATGGATCCCCTCGGCCCTCCCTACTTTAATTCTCTTCTAATATGTAGCAGAAACTCCCCCCTTCCCAGAGAGATAAAACATAGAACTAAAAGAGCAATAAGAAAGGAAAAGAAGCTTCAAAGTGTTTGGGCATATATTCTTTCTAGAACTATTTATTTAACTTTGGCACTTTTACAATGCACAGATGGGGAACACTGAAATCCATCTTCCAACTATGGAGAAAACATACTTGAAAATAATAGTACATTCAGATTCCTTACTTGACATGCAGTTTTCTATAAATGAACCAATTTGAAGTGGTGGTAAAATGACACTAATGCAAAATTTCTAACAAATAACAAGGGCAAGTGATCTGCAGCTTGTTCCATAAGATAATATTTGCTCACTTAAATATGTAAAATATGAGCAGCAGACCGATCATGTAGAGACAAATAATCCTACGCTCATGGACAGGCACTAACAACCACTGAAATATTCTACTTTTTCATCAAATTAATAAATCACCGCAACATTATCAACTGATTTCTCACAAACTATTACTCCAACTCGAGGAAACAGAAGGTTCTGCTTATTTTGGGCTACTGTTCTGACTTCTGAACACAACTTTATTGATACAAGAAACCATGTACGTTCTCATATCCCAGAATAAAAATCTAACTGAAAGTAGTACAACAAAGAAGTGCAAGTGCGCAACAAATTCCATGTGCAAGTAAGAATTGACCTATAATAATCACGTTCAAACTTCAAAGTACTAACAGCACCTGGACCCAAGTATCCTTTTGTCATTTCAGTTGACCCCTCAACCCATTAATAACATAGGAGGATCATACATGAACCCAACAACTAGTACATATTAGCCACTTAGCTACAGGCATGAGGTTGCAAACCGATCATGTACAGCAGAACAGACATGAGTAATACTCTTGTCAAGGATGATTACCAACAATCATTCACACCATCCAAGCTTCATGCCATCAAGTTTTCACATCAACCACGAAATCCATCACCAACCTCTCACATGACACATGACATACCTATTGGCCCTTCCTCAAACTACTAGACCATCAATATAAAGATCATTTAATTTCTAGCTCACCCTACATGCCTCCTTACCTACAATTCTACAAAAAAACTACATATGTTTCTTTGATACAACTGCTAACTAGTACAAAAAATATGGGGAACACACAAATTTATTAATCAAATTCAAAGCACAAATAATACCTGAATCCAAATTATTCTCTAGTTGTCCATTCAATGGACCATCTGACCCATCAATACCGCCCGAATTATTATCCGAAGCCCCTTCAACTGGTACTGATGACCCGGTACCGTCATCCAATTTATGCGGAGAAGGATCTTCCCCAGATTTTGCATTGTCTTGTATGCCATTAGACAATTCCATATGTTCACTAATTCATTAATTATGACAATATCAATAATTAAGCATACACTTTATGAAACCAATACTAAAATAGGAAATAAATTAATAAAAAGGAAGTTGAATTAATACAAGATGGATCATAAATTACCTTGAAGATTTTGTGTTGAATTGTTCTTCCTCAGACTGTGCCAAAGAAATCTGCGGATTTTCTTCAATATTTGTACCCATTTTCCTATTACAACAAAAAAACTTTTTTTCACATACAAAAATTTAACCTTAATCAAACTTCCAGCAGCAAAAAATCTCTAAAATTTTAAGCTGGCAACTCAAAATTGTAAAAGTTATCCCAAACAAAAAAAAAAGCTTGAACAGAAGTTACCCAGATAAAATTTCAACCCAAATTTCAATAAACCAGCTCAGAAAAATTCAAAATTACAACCCCACCAAAAAAAATTGGAACTTTTTTATTTTTGGGAATTTTTTTGGAATCCAAGAAATTGGGTTTTGATTAATCAATGAATAGAAGGGTAAAGCTGAAAATTAAGGAGGAAATTAAGCAGAAAAAGAGAAGAGAAAGTTTGAAAGGATATGATAAATTAATAGAAACTTTTCCTTCTACTTTACCTAATTTTTATCTTTAAGATTTTATAATGATAAATTATGATGTTGATTGGAGGGAGAAATTTTTGGGTAGAGCTAGAAAAAAAAAAAAACCCAGAGATTTTGATGGTAGAATTTTTTAGTTCTAATCAAACCGGAAAACAAGGTCAACCTTTCTTTTTTGTGATGTTGATTTGTAGCTCACACTAATTTAGATTGAGTTTTATACTTTTATTACCCAAAAAAAAAAAAGAAAAAAAATAGAATGCAAATCTTACAAGTAGTAATTTCTCTCTCCTCCATTGTCCTTGACTCCGTGCATGCAACGGGATTTCTTGATTGTTTTTTTTTTTTTTTTTTTTTTAAATTTTATAATTTTTTTTAAATTTTTTTTATTTTGCTATTATTAGTTGGACTATTTGGATTTTGGGGTACCTCACTGGGCTCACTCTAACATTTATGTCGGATTATGACAAATTGACAAGTATGTTAGAGCAAAGGTATCCCTCAAAAAAGAAAAAGAAAAAAAAAAAAAAAAAGGAAATGTAACAACTATTAATTCATCTAGAAAAATAAAACACAACTTCTTTTATATTTTCTCCGATTTTTTAATACTTTGACTGGCATGTAGCTTTAAGTGGTTGAGTTAAAGTTGTTAAAATATTGTGTATGTATGGTTAAATTATTTTTTTAAACAGTAGGTTATACTATGTATGTTTTATGTAAAAGTAAAGGATGTGAGAGAAATAATAAAAATAAAAAGTATGCATAGGGATGAGAATTGGGATAATAAAATGAAGGAGATATACAATTATAATAAAATGAAGGAGATATACAATATAATTAAACAGTAGATTTCCATTAAAGGGTGTGCTTCATTTATTTTTATTTTTTAAAAAAAAGTTTATATTATTAAAGTGTTGTATTAAAAAAATAAAAAAAATAATAAAACAAAAAAAATAAAATAAAAAAACCATAGAATTTTATAGGGTTCATAAATTGTGTGAATTGTGAGAAATTGCGTAAAGAGTAAACATCAGCGTGTTGCAATAAATCAGTTTCAAAGATAAAAGTTTGGAAAATACCTTTAAAATAATACTACCTCCGTTACATATTATGTACAGCTTTTGAATATTTTATACCTCACAAATAATACCTAAAATTTGCACGTAATATGTAACAGAGGTAGTATTTTAAATCTATCAATAACTTTATACTAAAGGCGAAACTAAAAATGACACTTGTCATTTTCTGGTTAAAAAATTTCCCGCTTTAGTTTTCTTTCTTTTCTTTTTTTTCTTTTTTTTTTTCTGGCCAAATTTTAATAACATCCTTTTATAACCTATAATAATACTTATTTTCATTTTGACAACGTATTTAATCCAATTACTCAATTAATTTTTTTTTACATTTATCCTACTGTATATACTAGGAAACTTTTAGTTACAAAAATACTAATATAGATTAAAAATAAGGTATTATAATATATTATTATCCAAGATTATTATAATATTATCAACTTTTTTTCTCCAACTTTTATCATTTGACAATAAAATTTATTTTAATTAAAGAAGAAAAATCATTATGGTAGCATACTTTGTGTAAATCTTAAAATTATATATAACTTTTATAAGAACAATCGAACAAAATCATATATATTGGAAAATTCAAGCTAATTACTATAAACATTTGTGTGATTATTTAAAAAAAAAATTAAAAACCCCTACTACTCACTAAAAATATATTTTAAAAAATTGATTACGAAATACTAATTATCCTAATGTAAAATAAATTCAACTAAATTTTCATATAATGCCGGTCAAAGTGTGCCAACAAAATATAAGGACAAATGTATATGAGTTTGTATAGGGGTACTAACCTAAGCTAATATTTTCATTCATTTATATAAAACCTTATAGCTTCTAATTTCTATTACTAATTTATACAATCCAATTCAATAACCTTTACGTATTTGGTATTAGTATAAATTAAAATTCAAGTTATTTTGTTACAAATATTATTTTTGGATAAATAATTGTTGAATTAACACCATTATTTATAATTTATTTGTTATAAACCGTAATTATGAACGTGCATGGCACGAGACTTATCCTAGTTGTGGAATAAGGTTCCATTTACCTTCCTCTAGACTTATGGTGCTGGCTCTTCTAAAATTCTTAATATGGTTATTTGAAACAGAGAAGGGAAGATTTTTACATGGTGACACTGTTGTTCAGCTTGTACATTAGCATTTTCGCCGATTGAGCTACCTTGACGCTAGTCAACTCTTCCTATTTGATTCATTTTCCTTATCCCATGTACTGCCTATTCAATCATGTGGACTAAGAAATGTCTAAATTTGAACTAAAGAGTAACAAATTCATTTCAAAAGAGAACCAAAAAGGCAAAAATTATACAATTTTTAGGTTGGGAGTGTATCAAATGATTAAGGGGAAAGTAAATGCTAATAGCTCCCTAAGACTTTCGAAAGTTAAAAACCATCTTCCATCTGAATGGCACTTTGTATTGAGGTGCATGCATCTTGCAAAACTAATTTTAATCCATCACTGTTTCGCAGGTAAAAACTCCAAGCCCTGAACAACACTTCGGGATTAAGAATATGAATAACGAATAAATATTGACAACCACAAGAAAAAGGTATCACTTTACATTTCATTGTGTATCAACTCACTTCTCATCGGAAAAAAACAAAAACTGCCTACCAGGCTATCCCTCTACCAATCCTATGTAAGTATGTATATAAATGAAACTAGGTATTACAACAAAATTCAGCACATGCCATATATATGGCATATTCCCATATTCCTGTGAACGATTTCTGCCCAATAATACTGGATACTACAGGAAATCTGTTAACATAATCGGCTGCAGTAGCTGTCCAGAGAGGAACAGAGGAAGATAAGCCAGTGATATCTTAGTAGCGGCATCATTAACCTCAAACATATCTATCCAACCTCCAAGGCTTCTCAGGATGACTTGTGATTCCATGGATATAGGATTCTCAACATCATAAGAATTTGGATCGTTTCTTTTCTCTCTTCCTCTCTTTTCTGGATCCAATTTCTTCGTAACCATTCTTACCGGTGCTTCCATTCTCTTTGACCTTCACAAACGATTTTGATTTCGAAGTCTTCCTCTTCTTACCAGAGGAAGAGGGACTACTACATTCGGCATTGCCACCACGAGGCAGTGGTTCTTCCTCATAATCATTGTCAAATTGCCAATTACATAAGATATCCTGCTTCTCATCATACTGTGAATCCAATGCCTCACCAGCGCCTGGAAGTAAATTGTTGAAAGTCAACTCGCCTTTAATTCCTCCCTTTCTTTCCAGCAAAACTGGGTCTGGTCTAATAATTGTTCCAAGTATACTTTTATTAGGACCCAAATTCATGATGGTCTTGGTATTTGTAAGTGTCGCATAAGCCATCATGAATGCTGATCTTATCTGAAGAGGGAAACACAACAGTTGAGAATTTAGCAGCAGAGTAATAAGCAATGACTCACCAATTCGCCAGTACAAAAGATACAAACTATGTTTGAGAGCTCAGCTCCCGATGAAACAGCAAGAGCACTAGAATCAGAGAGTAAAGACGTTCAAGCAATCAAAGTTCCAAATAAACACTAGACATGCATCTAGATTCAGCTCACGATGAAACAGCAAGAGCACTAAAATCAAAGAGTAAAAACGTTCAAGCAATCAAAGTTCCAAATAAACGCTAGACATGCATCTAGATTCAGCTCACTATGAAACAGCAAGAGCACTAGAATCAGAGAGTAAAGACGTTCAAGCAATCAAAGTTCCAAATAAAAATTAGATATGCATCTAGATTCTAGAGCACCTGTAAGAACAAAGTTATAAACAAAACAGAACTACACATGGTCCTAGAAATAAATTTTACGATCCTAAAACAAAAAAAGAGTGCAATTGTACATGAAACAGTTGATTCACCAAAATTAATCTAGTTAATTACAACCAACATAGGAATAATAGAAGTATACTATGTAAATAAATCTCTCAACACTAGTAGAAAAAACCAAAATGGAAGCCAATAATTGGAAGCGGTTTATCAAATCCGCTTCCAATTCCTTACAAATACCCGCCCAAATTTAAAAAAAAAAAAAAGGGAAGAATTGGAAGCGGTTTAGGTTGAACCGCTTCCAAAAACCAATTTGAAGCGGTTCAAACCGCTTCCCTTTTTCAAAAAAAAAAAAAAAAACCCGGCATTACCTCCATTTTTCCCCTCCATTTCAACGTATTCCTTGCTCTGAATTCCCCTCCATTTCTTCGCTTCCACCATTGCTTCCCTTCAACTTCCACTCTCACACACCTACACTCCACCATAACCACCATATATAACCACCGTCACTTAACCCCACCACAACAACTAGCAACAACCTGCCAAAAGCCGCTGCACCCACCACCATTGGCGTTGTTTTAGGTCATTGTTGAACTCCACACCCTGCACTGTCGCCGCCTCCACCCCCGCGACAACCACCACCACAGCAAGCATTTCCTTTGTGGACGCTTTGCTGCTGCTGTTGCTTATTGACGCTGCTAGCCACCACACTCGGCCTCACCACGACCTTTGCTGCTGCGACGTTGCTTGAGGACCACCACCACCACAGGCATTCCTTCTCTTTGTCCCTCGCAAATTAGGGTGAGTTCATGCTTACTTAATCTTACTACCTTATTTACATGTTCTTAACAATTTCCCAAATTTTAGGGTTTCAATATTAGTTAATCATATTTTATGTTAATTATTTTAATAATTATTCGTATACAAAATGTTAATTCTTACCTTAATTGTATAATGTTATAAGTTGTTTGAATTTGAGTAGTAGCTAAAAAGTGATGAATTATTGAATATGGATTGTAAGTGAGCTTAGTTTGCTTGTAGGTAGTCCAATTAGCATTGTATGTATGAATTAACTTGTGTTTTGTTAAATGTCAAACAAATGGAAATTTTTGAATGCTTGCATCATCATTTGCCTAGATACCCGTTCAAGTCTTTCTCATTAGGAGGAAGACTTGAATAGTTCCCGGTTGGGACTGTTCTTGGACGTTTAATCTCACTTAGGTAGTAAATGTATGTCTCTTTTTCGATTTTAAGGAATATCTCGGCCTAGCATTTCGTCTCCATGTTCTCCGGGTGCATATGTAGGTAATTATTTACCTACATTGTGTACTTGGAGAACTGGGGCGAAATGCTGCCGGATTTTCCTTAAAATTGGAAAGTTGACATACATTCACTAGTGAGATTAGACGTTCAAGAATGGGTTAGGTTGGAGTGATAAGGACCTTTTTAGGAGCATTCATTTTTACACTATATGCATTAATGATATAAATACAAACGATGTACTTTGATTATATGTTGCAATTTTACATTATTTAAAATGTGTTGGTTTGCGTAAAGGCAATTGAAAACGTTGATGGATCGCGGTTGGATGTATGGTAGACGTGATACGTTCAATTTCTTTAATGGGGTCCAAGAGTTTTGCGAGAGTGCTTCACAATATCAGATCAAAACGGGTGTGAATGACCGTCAACTGTAATAATGTGACAATGGTCGACAGTGTTGATACAATAAGAGATCATGTGGTATGTCATGGGTTTAGGCCTCAATATCATGTGTGGGTTTGGCACGGTGAACAGGGATCGTATAGGGAGAATGTTGTTGGGAATGATACTCACAATAACAAAGCCGAGATTCGTGTGGAAGATGATTATGGTAGTGATGGTGGTGGAGATGGAGATGAGGATGGGGATGAGATCGAGGACGGTGGTGGTGATCACTTGGATGAGATGATGCATAATGTTGAAGGTGAATTTGGTGACCGATGTGATGTATTTGAGTCGTTATCAGAGGCTGCCAAAAAGCCTTTGTATCCCGGGTCAAAAAAATACACCAAACTATCAGCCGTGCTAACACTTTTTAACATTAAGTCAAAGTATAACTGGAGCGACACTAGTTTTACTTCTTTGTTGACTGTGTTATGTGACATGTTGACTGATGAGAATGAACTTCCTAAGTCGTACTATTATGCAAAGAAACTCATGTGTCCATTTGGTTTGGAGTATAAGAAGATACATGCATATCCTAATGACCGTGTTCTTTATCGAAATGAATATGAAGAGTTGGAGGAATGTCCACGTTGTGGTCAGTCGCGTTACAAGCGAAAGAGCTGCAACGCTGGTATGAAGGGACCTCCTGCCAAAGTGTTATGGTATCTTCCCATCATTCCAAGGTTCAAGCGTCTATTTTCAATACCAAAAGATGCTAAGAACAGAGGGAAGAAAGAAAAACGGTTTGCTGAAGCATCCGGCTGACTCTCCGGCTTGGAAGAACATCGATATGAAGTTCAGGGCATTTGGTGATGAAGTGAGAAATTTGAGGCTTGGGTTGTGCACCGATGGTATGAATCCATTTGGCACTCCGAGTACCCAACATAGCACATGGCCGGTACTTTTAGTGATCTACAACTTGCCTCCGTGGTTGTGTATGAAACGAAAATACGTAATGTTGTCTCTTTTAATAACTGGTCCAAGGCAACCTGGACATGACATTGATGTTTTCCTTGAGCCCCTTGTTGATGATTTGAGAAAGATGTGGGACGAAGGAGTTTCTGTTTATGATGCCCATAAGAACGAGATGTTCCTAATGCGTGCAGCCCTGATGTGGACCATTAATGATTTTCCCGCATATGGCAACCTGTCCGGGTATAAGAACAAAGGGCATAAAGCATGTCCTGTTTGGATCGATGACACACCAAACGTGTACCTTGAACACTACGGCAAAGATGTGTACGTGAGGACCCGACGATTGCTTCGGCGCGATCACCCATATCGTAGGCAGAAAAAGGCCTTCAATGGGAAAGTTGAAGAAGGGGTTGCGCCTAGGCCATTGAGTGGACATGAGGTGTATGGTCGAGTGAAGGGTATACCAACTGTTTTTGGTAAAACTTCGAAACCTTTAGACCCACATGCCTTATTTAAAAAGGAATCGATCTTTTGGAAGCTTAAGTACTGGAAAGAACATGATATTAGACATTGTCTCGATGTGATGCATATAGAGAAGAATGTTTGTGATGCAGTTGTTGGGACAATAATGGGTATTCATGGCAAGACAAAGGATGGGAAGAGCGCCCGATTAGATTTGGAAGCGTGGGGTGTTCGTCCGGAATTGTGGGTGCAGCCAAAGGAAGGGAAGGCAATGGTAATGGAAAAGGTAAGGGAAGATGGTGGCAGTAAACGTAAGGGGGAGCGTAAAGGAAAGGGCATCGGTGTATCAAAGAAGAAAGATGAAAAGGTGTATTTACCTCCAGCTTGCTACACATTGTCAAAGGACGAAAAACGGAAGTTCTGTGCTTGTTTGTATGACATTAAGGTTCCCTCTGGTTTCTCGTCAAACATGAAAAGATTCGTTTCCTTGAATGGGGAATTGAAGTTGACTAGTATGAAATCTCATGATTGTAACATGATGATGCAAGTATTCCTACCGATTGCCATTCGTGGTATTTTACCAAAGCACGTGAGAGAAGCTATTACGAGCCTTTGTTCGTTTTTCAACACTATATGCAGCAAAGTGCTCGATCCTTTTACACTTAATGCTCTCCAGGCGAATGTAGTTGTAACATTGTGCAAATTTGAGATGTATTTTCCACCATCATTTTTTGACATCATGGTGCATTTGGTCCTTCATTTGGTTCGTGAGATCAAGATGTGCGGTCCAGTCTTTATGAGGTGGTAATATCCTTTTGAAAGACACATGGGCACATTACAACATAAAGTTAGGAATCCAGCCCATCCAGAAGGTAGTATGATTCAAGGGATTGTGGCGGAGGAGATTGGTAATTTCGTGGCGGAGTATGTTGCCGTTGCCGAACCAATTGGGCTTCCCACTTCCCGACATGAAGGGAGACTTGATGGTCATGGCACACTCGGGTCGAAACGGATTTCACCTACTCATGATCAGTTCTTGCAAGCTCACTTATTTGTGCTTCATCATGTTGCGGAGGTTCACCCATATTTAGAAGAGCACATGGATAGTTTGCGTGCGGAATTTCAATCAAAAGGGGAAAGGGCACTAATGCAGTTGCATAATAAGATGTTTGTGACATGGTTCCATGATCGAGTCATGCGTCAATTGGATGAGAGTGTCTCTGATACTATAAAGTGGCTAGCTTATGGTCCAAAGGAAGATGTTTATTCTTTTGAGGGATGTGACATTAATGGGTATACATTCTGGACTGGGCATCGTGATCAGAAATCCTCATCGACTCAAAATAGTGGTGTCACGCTTGTGGCTTCATCAATAGAGTTTGTCAGTACGAAGGATACATCACCAGTTGACGCACAATTATCCTACTACAGACGAATTCAGGAAATATGGGAACTAGATTATCGTGAGTTCAAGGTAGGTCTATTTAAATGTAAATGGGTCGATA